AAATTTGTTGGAAATCTTGAAGTGATGTCATGATAAATATATGATCAATAAATTTTAAATATAAAAAATGATTTTACATTAAATATGAAACGTAAAGTCGTGATTGTTTATGTTTCTTTTCAATCCCAACTTCATCTCAATGTCCTTTCTTCGAACTTTATTTTCCTACAATTTTTACATTTGACACAGCGTGGAATAGCAACAATTTATACCATTTCCTTTTTTTTCTTGTTATTTCTCCTTTTTAGTCTTTAATTATTTATTTTCTGTATAACAATTATTTTAGCAACATAGTGGAATCATATCAATAACCGTCATATTTTTTTCTTAATTTGGGGATTGGTGGATCGGTCTGTGATGATTTCGATTGTTTTATTGTTCCTTGAAGAAAATTGAATCTTCATTTTTTCTAAATATTTACGCTATCACATTGTCAATTACATGCCTTGCACGTGCATCAACTAGTTTACTTAAAAGCTCGTGATTCACTATCACTGGAGAGGGTAGTGCCTGAACTATTCATTCATGGAACCGAGCTTTCACACTTATCTGATTCCAGGGGCGGAACCAGGAAATTAATCCAGTGCGGGCGGTATTGGTAAAAGTTAAAAAAAAAAAAAAAAATTATAATGATGTTCACAAAAAGAAAACATGTTGCTAGAAAGAATCCACAAACAGGAAACCAATTGATTTCAAAATTTTGCCCAAATGCCCAAACAAAATAGATTGTGGTTATTCCTATTTCCTCCCATGCGTCCCCAGGGGCGGAGCCAGGAAATTGGTTCAAGGTGGCCACAATTTAGTCGACCCAGAACTTTGAGTTTTTGGTCATGAATTTAATTGTCGGGTGAGGTCAGGGGCGGAGTCAGGAAAGTAACTTTTATAAAATTGTGTTTGAAATATTGATCGTGGCAATCTAGAAGATGAAGGCCTAGTTTGTAACCTCTTATATGATGCCAAGTTTATTTCTTCTTATTTAGTGTGGGTTAGAGAATGGAACTTATGCTGTCATTTTGAGTTAGACATCTTATCCTGTAAGAATTGTTTAAACTTAGAGTGGTTTTGCATTTCCTTAAGATTCTTCCCCATAGGTATTCTGTTTTACAAGTTTTTGATGTTAATTTAGAAATTAAAGCATGCATTATAAGGCAATCTTTAAGATTGATCATTACCGTAA